CAGAGATCCATCTGCCTGTGTCTCCTGAGTCCTGGGGTTAAAGGTGTGTGCCACCACTGCTTGGCCTCTATGGCTGTGGCTAGCTTTGCATTTTGATCCCCAGTGGCTTTATTAGATCATAAACAATATGTCACCACAACCTTCCTATTGTTTGCGCAATGTTTCTTCCTGATTAGACTCAGATTGGTCCCTTTTGGTCAAAATATCGCAGAAGCAGTGATGCGTTCTGCATCGCATCAGGCAGCACAGGATGTGGTTTGTCCCCTCGCTAGTGGAGTTTGGTCACTTGATCAATATAGCACTTGTGGACTTTCTTCTCTATAAAGTTACTTACTTCACTGTCACAGGTAAACTATTTTCTGTATTGCTTTATCATCTCCCTATGATCTAATGAGAACCTCCCGACTTCTGGGCTTATCTTACTGTATAGGACAGTGCCCCTCCAAAGAGTTCTGTTAGTGCGGAATAGTAAAAAAACAAAACAAAACGAAGGTGTGGGCTGTGTGCTGCTGTTTCTGGGCAGTCGTTGCTCTTGGGCCATCCCAATGCATCGGAGTAGGGAATACACATATGCACACATATACATTTATCAACATCCCATTTCTGTAGCCGGAAAACTGAGTCCATCAGAGTAGGGAATACACATATGCACACATACACATTTATCAATATCCTATTTCTGTAGCCTGAAAACTGAGTCCTCAGCTGTGTGCTTCCTCAGTACAACACCCAGGGCTCCTTCCTAGCCCTCCGAGTTTGCATGTTTGTTTGTTTTTAAGACAGGCTTTCTCTATGGAGCTCTATCTGGCCTGGAACTGGCTTTGTAGATCTGTCTGGCCTCAAACTTGCAGAGATTTGCCTGCCTCTGCCTCTCAGTGCTAGGATTAGAGGTGTCGCCACCTCAGTGAGGAAACTTCTTCCTGCCCTCCTTGACTTTATTGTTGATTTTCCTCTGGGGCCGATCTACTGATCTCCACAGAGCCACTGCTCTACAGGCCTGTTGAAAGCCTTCCTCACGAATCCCCCAAACCTTCCTCACGAATCCCCCGAACCTTCTTTGTGGCGGAATGAATCAGGGACTTTAAGGCGTTCCATTTATCTTGTTTTGTTACATTCCCAGGATTTAGGGATGCAATAGAGACAGTCATCTCTCTGAAACTGTGATTCTGCATCCGTGGATTCAATCAATACTCAGAAAATAAATTGCATCTGTATTGATCTCACACAGACTTTTCCTTTCTCCTTCTTCCCAAACAGTACAACTCCTGACATAGCACTTACATCACCACAGATATTGAAAGGAATCTGGGGCCAGGAAGACAGCTCAGTGGGTGATGGTGCTTCCCACCGAGCTTGATGACCGGAGTTTGACCCCGTGAACCCACGTAATGAACAGAGAGAACCAACTTTCAAAAGTTGTCTCTGACCTGCATATATATGCAGTAGTGGAGCATGCCTTTAATACCAGCACTCAGAAGGCAGAGACAGGGAATCTCTGTGAGTTCAAGTCCAGCTTGGTCTACAGAGCTAATTCCAGGACAGCTAAGACTGTTACACAGAGAAACCCTGTCTCAAAAAATTTTTTTCCTCTTGCTCTAAATAATAAAAATGGGTGTTGGTGGCACATGCCTTTAATCCCAGCACTCAGGAGGCAGAGGCAGAGGCAGAGGCAGAGGCAGAGGCAGAGGCAGAGGCAGAGGCAGAGGCAGAGGCAGAGGCAGAGGCAGAGGCAGAGGCAGAGGCAGAGGCAGAGGCAGAGGCAGGCAGATCTCTGTGAGTTCCAGGCCAGCCTGATCTACAGAAAGAGTGCCAGGAGAGTCTCCAAAGCTACAGAGAAACCCTGTCTCGAAAAACAAAAACAAACAAACAAAAAGTAGACAATCAAGCCAGGAGTGGTGGTACACACCTGTGATCACATCACTGAGATGGGTAAGTTACAATTTGAGGCCATTCTGGGACACAGAGAGACCGTGCTGGCTAGTCTTCATTGTCAACTTGACACAACCAAAATCAACTGGGAAGAGTCTTAAAGAGGAATTACTTGGCTGGGCTTGGTCTGTGGGCATGTCTGTGGGAGGGCTGTCTTACTAATTGACCTGACCCACTGTGGGCAGCACCATTCTCTTGGCTGGGCCTGAACTGTGTAAAAGTGAAGAAAGCTAACAGAACCAGCAAGGATTATGTGTGATCTGGACTGTGGATGTGATGCTATAAGTACCTGCCTTGATTTCCCTAAAATAAGGGGCTGCAAACTAGAATTGTAAGCCCATAACTCCACCTCCCCTATGTTTCTTTTGGTCAGGGAATTTTATTACAGTGACAGAAATGAAACTATAACAGACACCCTACGTCAGATTTGTAAATTAATTAAGTCATCAGCAGCACAAGAAAACCACCTATAAAGAATTCACTAACTGTAGTCCCTTGCATTTCTGCTTGTGATCAGTCAATATGGTTACCATGTATGGCTTTTGGCAATTGTCTCTTCTACGAGGTCGTTTTTTCCTCTGGGACCGAGCACAGGTGACAATGTAACCACTGCACAACTCTTCCTTTTGTTTCCACGCACAGATCCTACCAGTTTGCTTTGTTCTGCATTCTTTCATCTTTCCACATAGTCATTGACAACCTGTGCATGAGGGCTACCTGTATACATGGGCTCCTCCTCTTCCGCCCTTCCCTGCCCCAAGCTGCATCTCGGGTAGTCCATAGCCTTGCCTCTGCTTCTTGCTTGGCTGGTTTCGATCTGTCAGAGGATGTAAAGGAGAAGCCCAGGTTGAGTGTGGAGGAAGTGGGTCCCTCTGAGCCAGCTAGACCCTGGAAAGTGGAAAGAGGACGACTAAGCCAGCCACTTTCTCTTCCCCTTCACTGTCAGAAGAGCTGAGTGTTTACCAGACTGTCTGTCTCCATTTGGTTTCTGGTGATATTCTTCAGAGGTGGGAGGGAGGATAAAGGGAGACTACATCCCACACATACTCCAGATTGCTGAATTTCCATGTTCCATTCCACTCCTCCCCTGCTGGGACAGAGCTCTGGAGCAGCAACCTACTTTGCACTTGGTCCCAGGAGCATGAAGACACTGTGGTGTTTGCTCTGTGGATCATCTCTTCGAAGCCCAAGGGAGGCCCCGTGCAGGGTGGGGCAGGAGAGCAGCTGCCTGTCACCTTGGTGGCTGTGATATTATCTGGGCCTAACGGTTTCTTCTGGGTAGGCACTTCCGCACTCCTGCCTGTGGAGTCGGAAAGACTCATGCCGCTGTCTCTGAATGGAAAGGATCACCCAGCTCTAAGAAGAAAGGGAAAGACAGCCTGACCTGGAAGCACGCACCTGTCACTCCAGTATCAGTGAGCTGGGGCAGGGAGATGGAAAATTCAAGATCAGCAAGACATTCCTTTCTTGCTTCCATCTCTGTTCTAGGATCTGCCTTGCAGCTGTATAGATACAATCTGGGAACCCCCAATGCCAGGCTCTAGATAAAAGGACTATGGGTTGCGTATTCATCTAGACCCTGTGCAGGAAACTGAGCACTATTAAAATAGCTGCTCTTTTCAGAGCGGTGACTACACTGTAAAGATGTCTCACATGAAGATCAGATAAGTGAGCTTTTCTAAAGGAACACAGCTAGAAAGCAGAGGACTAGAGCCTAACCTTCCATCTGCTTCTGAAAGCAGAGTTCTTGCCCCTAGGCTCTTTGAGTTCAATAAACTAGAGTCTGCCCTGACATCATGCTTTACAAAGCAAGGTTTAGAAGGCCTGTGACCTCAAAGTCCACAGACCAACTGTGATGAGAAACAGTCAGGACAGCCTTTTGCAGCATGGGCGAGTTCTCTGCTGGTTTTCGGAAGTGGTTTCTCTTGGGCTCCTTGCGCAGGTGCAGCACCAACCTGTACCTATCCGATGGTCCGGCAACTTGTTGGTTCTTTCTCTCATTTGCATAATGTCAGGTCCTGCCTTGGAGGACAAAGTTGAGGGATGCTGTAGAAGATGTACAGGCATCAAACAGTCCCCCTGAAGACATTTCCCCCTTGGAAATGGGATCCAGAAGGGGCACCTAGAGCTATAATCCAGTAGGAGATAATGGCCCTGGCACAGATTCAAAGTCGCTATATCCCTCCCACACAGCCTTTTTGCTGTCCCAAGGGCTGTACAAACAGACCTCCCTTGGGGAGAGTTGCTAAGCTGGGCCTTATGTGAATCGGATGTTTAGGACCATGCCCTTTGCTATATTTAATAGGAATGGAGAAAAGGGTCTTTAGCAAGTAGTCTGTGGGACAGATATTCCCACAAACCCCCAGGCATGCAGGCATCAGCACAGAAGCGAAGAGAAGCTTGATGTACAGGAAACTTGGAAAACTTTGCTTGGGTTCCTCCTCCTCCTCCTCCTCCTCCTCCTCCTCCTCCTCCTCCTCCTCCTCCTCCTCCTCCTCCTCCTCCACAGATAGATAACAGATCAACAAACTGATAGTTGTTTCCTGCAAATGGAATCCTGGAAGGTGGACAGGAAAAGAGGTGTCAAAACAAAGGTGTTCTTATTAGGATACTGAATCCAGGAGAGCTAGGTACATTGTTAAGTATAATAAAAGGAAGGTCGAGGAGGGGAAGAGGATGAAGCTGGAAAGATGGGTATGAAAAGAAGGAAATGGCAAAGAGGAAAAGAATGAAAAGGCAATTTTAATTTGAGGGGAAAGGAAAATAAAGAAGGCAGGCTAAAAGAGGGAGAGTTGATACGGTCTGAAAAATGTGCAAAACCCGGGGTCCTGAGAAACTACGCGAGAAAGGGGGCGCGGCGCTGCCCAGCCCATGTTTGGGCAGATTAATGGAGCCATAGCTCGGGCTCTTGAGTCCTTCCCTGGGAGGGACAGTATCTGTTTAGATTCGTGTCTAAATTTAAACCCCGATCCGGCCTCCCTCCCTGCTCCCCTCCATTCCCCTCCCCTCCTCCTGCGTCCCTCAGTCCCTCCCTCCCTCCCTCCCTCCCTCCTCCTCCTCCTCCTTCCTCGTTCTCTGGCGCAGGGCCCCCCGGCCGGGGCAGTCCCGCAGCCGAGCGCAGCCAGGCGAGCGCACCGCCGCCCACTAGCTCTGTGCCGATTGCAGCCCGAAAGTGGCTCGGGCTGGGAGCGGAGGGGACAGCAGGGATCGCGAGCTCCTGCCCGAGCGAGCGAGCGAGCGAGCGGGTGTACCCCGCCGCCGGAGGACTACCTGAAGGACATGGAGGTAAAGACCAGTGGAGACACGGAGCTGGGGTGGGGGCTGCGGGGAGAGTGAGGTCAAGGCGGCGCTGCTGTCCTCCTGTCCGGGTCGCACAGCAGGGACAGCATGCAGCTCCAAAGTCACCAGACCAACTTCAAAGGTTGGTTCCCTACCCTGCCTCAGGAAGGGACCTCAAGAGGAAGGGGCAGGGCAGGGGAAGGGGGTCCCTTTTTAGGGATTCGGAGGTTTTGACTGTGCACATACATGTTTTTTAGAAAACAAAGTTAGGTACAGCTAAGGTCATAAACCAATGAAGGTGTGAGCCGAGAACCCCGAAACAAAAACTCCAGCAACCCTCCCCAGGCACTGAGAAAAAGCTGGTAGCTGAGGCCGGCACTGAGGGTATGGCTTCCCCTTTCACTTGCCAAAGTTGTCCTCTTGCCACTGAGGTGTCCCTTGTGCCTGTCACATCTTCTTTCATAACTTTCTGAAAAGCTCCCCTCATCGTCAGCCAAATAAACTTATTCCTGAGAAACTAGAGGCTCTCCAGGATGTCCTGCCTCCTGAGGTTGTGTGCACCTTGGGGTGTGGTAGCCATACATGAGGGGGTGTGCGGGGCTGAGTCCCAGACTTAGGCACTCTGAGAGGAGACTGGGGACTTTCCCTGCACTTTTCCAACCGCAGTGGAACACATGTCACTGCTCTCCATCCGAGGAGTAGCTTGGGAGTGTTCTTTCACCTAGATACCTTCTCCACATCTCCAGACTTCCAAAGATGCCCTCCTTCAGACCAGACCAGCTACAGGTGGACTCTGAGGCACAGCATGGGCAAGGCCCCAGGTTCAAGCCATAGTGCCACAAAAGAGAAACTGTGACCTTTCATTTCATCTTGACCAATCTCAGCAGGACATGGGGCTTTCAAAGAGGGGAAAGACGATGAAATACCACAGGCCTTTAAGGTGATTCCCACTCCCACTCAAAAGGAAACTGCTCTTCCCTAGACCACGGTCTACAGTGATCCCAGCACACAGAAGTGCAAGCCCTCCAGGCCTGAGCCCACTGGCCTTTCCTACACTTCGCTGTCTATTTGCCATCTCTAAAAGAACAATAGGTTTGTCCTGGATATTCAGCTCAACCAGTTGTCATTAAGAAACAAGGATTGCATTCTGAGGGCCTTGAGTACCCGGGGTGCTGGGGTCCAAGTATCCTTCTGTAGTAACACCTGCAAGTCAGAAGTAGTGGGTTAAGGTAGATAGACCACAGAGCATTGCAGACAGGCTCTCAAGTCTACTCCAGCCTCTGCAAACTCTGAGCTGCTGGATGTGAACAGACCCACAAAGAAACTGCTGTACCCATAGATCCGCTCCTTGGGGAGAACTCAGGGAGCTTTGAGAGCCGAGCTGGAAACTTGTGGGATCACTAGCATAACTGCAGTGGACAGCAAGACTTAAAGCAGGTTGCTGCTTGAAGGCCCAATGCAAGTTCTAACTTTAATCTAGGGAAACAGAGGCTCCTCCCACAGGGACACATATTCTTCCCTCAGCTGAGGAAGAAACAAGAGGGGGCCTGAAAATACCAGCCCAGCAACTTCCTGTGTGACTTGGTAGGCGGGAGGCATGAGAAGAGAAGGCTCTCCCATCTATAAGCTGATTTATGAAGCAACTGAAAAGGGATTGGATGGGGATAGGCAAATTCCTGCGTGCCAAATGCTGGACCAACACTGGGAGAGATTGCCTAGTCAGCCACAATGCCGGGCAGATGTGCTTACAACTGTCCTGAGGCATAGCATTGCTGGTCGGCAGTCACTGCTTAAAGTTTCTTTGGCAAAGTCCAAACAAACAAGCCAAAACACTGCAACAGCTAGCACTGTTAGAGGACATAAAGAGGAAACAGAGGAGAGAGGAAGTGACGATTTTCAGCTAAGACATGAATTTCTGTGATAGGTAGATTACCTGCTCATGAGTGGAGCTAGGAGTCCTGCATCAGCCTCATGAAGGAGCTACTTACTTTATCTGAGAAGAAGCCAAGTCACATCATGCCCCCATATCGAGCATTCAAACCTAATCTATAGGACTCTAGCGTTCTAACCCACACTTACCGGCTGCAAATGTTACGAAATTCTTCATATCACTCCCACTAATCACACCTACAGGGATCTTTCTGGAATAAACAAAACAAGGTGGCACTTGACCCCTGCCTTTCAAACACTCCCAATCCAATAGAGGAAATGGGACTCGCAGATCTTGTCATGCATCACGCTTTGGTGGTGTGTGCTAAGTGAAGGCTTCTGCACGCATGACTTGTACAGGCCAGGGCCGAGGCCACTCAGGAGAAGCCTTGAGAAAGAGACGGTAGTCAGGTAGAGACACACAAGGATGGTGCAGGGAGAACACACCAGGAATGCAGGGCAGTTGGTTGGAGGGGCAGATAGAGGGTCACTAAAAGAAGAAAATCGAAAGTAAGAAGATAAAGCCTTGTGACCAATGAGCATAGGAACCGCTGGCCTGGTGAGCGAGCCTTCAGGAACTAAAATCTAAGCCATCCAGAAGGCATTGCCTTTTCTTCATACAAAATCTTCTTGCCCAGCTGTGCTCCTAACTAGTACCTTCTTCTAATTTACCGTTTTCAAACCTTGAAGGCCAGTTCACGAATGGGCCTGGAGTCTGCTCCACAGACAGCAGGAAACTGAGTGAGCTGTGAGGTGGCAGCCATAATGCAGCAAGGCAGTAGATGTTGCGCGTGAGTGAGCGAGGCGTGAGTGAGCGAGGCGTGAGTGAGCGAGGCGTGAGTGAGCGAGGCGTGAGTGAGCGAGGCGTGAGTGAGCGAGGCGTGAGTGAGCGAGGCGTGAGTCAGCGAGGCGTGAGCGAGCGAGGCGTGAGTGAGCGAGGCGTGAGTCAGCGAGCCCTCCAGCTGAGGCCCCCAGACCTAGGATGCAGTCTGACTCCAAGAAAAAGACAAGGGGAAAGAAGAGTCAAGACCGTGAGCTACAGGGGAAGCAGGAACCGTCTGCTGTTGCTGTTGCGTATGTGAGGCCCCAGGTTATCCCTGGAGGGAGGGAGGGAATCTCAGTGTAGGAAGGTCTATCCTAATAGTCGATGGGTCTCCATGAGCCAACACAGTGCCCATCACAGAACCCAAATTTCCCAATAAAATTTGCCCGATAAATTAATAGAAATTGCTTCCCCGAGGCCCTCAACCTCTACAAAGCACTTAACTAGCCCCACTGGGGCTGGCTTTCTGGCTCCATGTTGGGAGGGACCATATTTTATATATCTAGGGTCTCATGGGCACCAAACAAGACATACTGATTAGATGAATGCGTTATTGGAGATGAGAGCAATCAACTTTTAAAACAGAAAGGAGAAGAAAGGAAGGAAGGAAGGAAGGAAGGAAGGAAGGAAGGAAGGAAGGAAGGAAGGAAGGAAGGAAAAAGCAGACTTGAGTATGTTTATTGGTTGGTTTGACTGTTCTGGGCAGTAATTTCAGCACACTGAGACATGCAGACCTCTTCTGATACAGAAGTAATTGTTTCTAGAAACCATAATAATGAAGTTATTGTAGATAGGAAGCCAGGGAAAAGCCCCTCCTGGCCTTTGACGGCACCAGCATGAATGTGTGCAGGCACATAAATAATATTTGTTAGAGTAAGTCAATATATGTAAATAAAAATATTTAATCCCAGGCCACTGTTACATAGTGAGACAGACCCTGTTTCAAAGGGCGCGTGTGTGTGTGTGTGTGTGTGTGTGTGTGTGTGTGTGTGTGTGTGTGGTCAAGCAGGGTGTGAGGTCAACCCTCTGGTTGCAACACATGGGAGCTTGGAGCAGCAGAGTCATGCTAAAGATCATCTTCAACTACATATTGAGTTCCAAGCCAGCCTTGCCTCTGTAAGACCTAGTCTAAAGAACACGCACACACACACACACACACACACACACACACACACACACACACACACACAGGGATTATCTTTTCATTCTCACAATATCAGCAACATAAGTGTGTGTATGTGTATACGTGTATATACATACTGAAATATGTATGATGTATTCATGTTGTAGTCTATGTCTTAATTCATGCGTTTTTACCCAGTTAAACATCCACTACTTTATTTTAGACCATTTTAACACATTATTTTTGTTTAATCAATTGTTATTATTCTTGTGTGTGTTTGTGAGTGTGCGATCTCGAACACTGCACTGTGTGTGGCAGTCAGAGAACAACTTTCAGTAGTCATTTCTCCCCTTCCAACCCCAGGTCAACCCAGGTTGTCTGGCTTTTCCCAGCAAGTACATTTACGCCATTGAACCATCTTGGCTGACCCTCTACCTTGTTTCTATTTTATTTATTTATTGGACTGGGATCTCCAAGTCTAGGGAAGAAAAATAAAAAGATTACTTGGGGATGTCCCTGTGAACCTCGCTGGTTTTCCCCCATCCTGTCACTGAGCCATGGTGTGCTGGTTGAGGCTGGTGGTCGTAGTGGACGCTACTCGGCCCGTGAAGCCGGAAAGAGACTGGGTGGACTCCCTCGCTCTTGCTGGGTGGGACTCTAGCCGTCACTCTGGCTCCACTTAGCAGACATCTTCCATTTGCTGGGCTGTGAGAACAGGAGTAGTTTCGGGTAGGCACGCTGTCAGGACCTATCGTGGAGGGGTGAGAGCATTCCTGGAGCTGAGTTGGAGGAGTTGGGTTTCAGATCCTGATCCACAGCAGGCTGCCCACAGCAAGGAGAGCCTGAGCCTGGCTCCCGCGGTTCCGTGGGAAATCTGAACGCTGGCGGCTCAGCAACAAGGTAATCTTATCAGAGCCACAGGAGAACGCCTTTCAGTTCCAGAGAACTCTCAAGGCAGCTCTGCCCTCCTCTAGTGACAGGGTCTTGAGGTTTGCAGAGCCAGTCTGGCCCATCTAACTCGCTAGAAAAAGGCACGTAGCTCTGGGAGAAACAAGACAATCCCTAGTTGCTCCAGCTTTACTGGGAGTGAGCACACCAGACTCTGAGGTATGCTGGGGCTGTGGTGCAACC